AAAGTAATGAATAAACAGGTAAAATATTTAGCTTAAAGTAATGAATATACGGTTAAAATATTTAGCTTAAAGTTATCTATAATTGAGAAAAAAGGTTGGGAACTACAGGTTAACAAATTTTGTGATTGTCTTTTGCAGCATTTACACTGCAGTACTACATTCCTGCACAAATCAGATTAGCTGTGGATTTTGAGAATGCCTTACGTAATGCACAGAGAGGAAAATATAATATTTAATATTTTCCAACTTGCTTTGGTCAACTTGTGTACCCAGTAATAGTGTTTGACTTGACTGAAGTGTCAACCCAAACCCTAATGAAGTCTAACATTTTAACCTATTGTTTCACCTCCAGAAAATGCTTTCTCATGTGTCAGGATCAGATTTTTTACCACAGATCCTGAAGTCCAAATTAGATTATAACTCTCTTTAAGAGGGGCGAAATCTTCTGATGCAGTGTAAATGCTGCCTAAGTCCCTCCGTTTGTATGTCTGCTTCTCTGTGTGCGTCTTCATCCGATTGCCATCATTTAGAAATGCGGCAAGCGCAGCCGCCATGACGGAGCAGTTCTTCCTCAGCTCCCTAATATGGCCCCAAACCTCCTGATAACATTTGCAGTGCTAGCCGAAGGGGCAGAAGTAGAATGGATACTTTGATTTGAGCTGGGACTAAAGAGACTCAGACAGAAATACCATAACCCATTCATCACAGTGGCACAACCTCTGCAGGGAACGACCTCTCTAGCCAATTATACAGCAGTGCTGCAGAGGGGTTGAATGGGGCCTGCTCGTTTCAAACCATTCTTTCATTTCGATGGCATTTGGTGTTGACACTCTTTTTTGGCCTAAAAGCCTCTGATCTTATTCTACACTTTATCCCTGTTGGTTGGGATGTTCAGTATAGACTGCAGTGTTTTCTTCTCAACAGTTTTTTTTACGGCCATCTGTTCACATCTTAAACCAGGCAGCATTTTTTTTGCCTGATCTTTAGATTTCCTACAAGAGCAGCTTAGACGAGTAATTGACCCCTTTAGTCATATCACTCAGCATGTTTAGTCCCGCTTATGGGCATTTTGCAAGTATACTGTGTCAAACACTGACCCTTGGATATTTCAGTCTGCTCCCTTTCAACACCAGCGTCGAACGCTGCTGTACTCTCAGACACCCAATCCCCGCTGGGGGAGGAATGCAAAGCACAGGCGTGGGGGACCGGAGCAGGGTCAGATGTGACAAGCGTAGTAATGGGGGCGTCAGAAGGAAGCGGGCTCTGAAAAGGGATGAGTGCAAAACTCAATTATCATCCTCAGAGGATTAAATATGGCCGATTGTCACGCCGGCGATAAGGGGGCCTTCTGTTGCTGAGCCACTTTGGAGCTGGGGAGAGAAGAGATGAACGGCAGTGTCAGTGTGTTTGGCAGCTTTGGCGCACTGCGTGTATAAACGACTAAATGTGTGTAGATGTATGCATGTAAGCATCTGCGTGTGTGGCTGCATGGTTGTTGTTGTTTTTTCTCCATCTGCTCACATGCTTCTATTATGCAGCTCTGCACTCATTTCATCACCACAGAAATCCACTGCTTGGACTTTCAAATACGTCTCTATTTGCCTCGTGCTTACTGTGTCTTTGTGGGATTCAGGTACCCTCCGTCCTCCCGGCAGACGTCCCATGAGGAAGGGAAGGAGTGGTTGAGGTCCCATTCAACAGGGGGACTTCAGGACACAGGCAGCCAGTCCCCACTGTCTCCTCCGGGAGCTTCCTGCACGAACACTGGAAAATACCACTACTCCAACCTGCGTAAGTCTACAGCACATGTGTCAAACTCAAGGCCCGCGGGCCGAATACGGCCTGCCACGTCATTTTATGTGGCCCGCAAATCCACCAGCAAAAAAAAAAAAAAATTTTTTTGTTTTTTTTAATTTTGGAAAAAAAAAATTAAGTTAGACTTGAAAATGAAAATATCCCCATGGTCGAAATTATGAGATAGAAATTTGAAATTATGAGATAGCATGTTGTCTGTGTACCGACATTAAAACTATCACAACAGGTGGACAGGAGAGGGAACAGCCCGTAAAGCGGTTTTCCAACAAGTGATTGAGTTGAAAAAGATCGACAAATAATCCCAAAATGTCTACGAAGAGAAAAATTGATGCAGAGGGAAGAAGATGTAATTTAAGATGGGAAAGCGATTACATGTCTGTGCTTCAGGGAGAAAAACGGGTCTGTCTTCTGTGTTATGATGCGTGTCGGTGATGAAGGATACAATTCACGTTGGCATTTTGACACCAAACACGGAGCTAAATTTAGCCTCCAAGAAAAACATAAAATTGTCCAAGAATTAAAAGGCAGACTGCAATCACAGCAGAATATATTTACAAAAGCTACAGCCCAGTGCATGCTAAAGGTATGTGAGCAGGTGTGCTCCGACCAGAGACAGACTTTTACAAATGTCAGTTTGTGAAGAAACACCATCGCAGGCCGAGTTCATCAACTAGCAGCAATCTAACACAGCTAGCTAAGAGACGAGATACATCATCTATCAATGTTTGTAAGAGTCTCAAGGCAGACTTGACTGTCAGTGAGGAGCTCTTGGATGTAGCTGCCATGCATGGGACGACGGCAGGGAGGGACATTAGTGATGCAGAGAGGTGACAAAAATAGCTTTGAACAAAGTTAATGTAATAACTTGTGTTTGATGATATTTGTCTTTGTTATTTTCTTTAAAAGTTTGATCTTTGATAGAGTAATGTGGGTTTCTTAACCCTAAATTAAAATTATTTATGTTATAATAACAGAAATGTGCTTAAATATCATTTTACATTCATATAACTGCATGTACAATATTTTTACACTTGAATAAACAATAATCAAATGCAGAGACAGTTATTTAACAATATGTTAGGAGTAGTTACAGTTATACAGTCTTACAGTTACAACCGGCCCTTTGAGGACGACCGTGATGCTGATGTGGCCCGGAGTGAAAATGAGTTTGACACCCCTGGTCTACAGGAACAAACTCACTGTAGCACATCTGGAATAGATCAGAGTTACAACATGTCCATAGGCAGGGAATCTCCGTTTTTTTTATTTGCTCCCAGTTATTTTCATGTGTTAATATGATGTAATTTCTCACAGCCAAGAGTCTGTGATAGCCTGTACAACTTGCCACCAGCCATTACTAATGGCCCAGAATGCTTCTTCATTTTATGCCAACTTAAAGCGAGACACAAACAAACTAAATGGTGAAAAATAAATCAGTCAAGTGAGTAATACAATCAAAGGAGAATTTTTCACAACTGTTTCATGCTGTGCTTAAGAATATCTAATTCATGACACATCTGCAGCATTCTTCGATCATATCCAGCTGTATATATGTTCTTATTTCATGCATGAATAGTTGATCACTGATGAGTTTTACACATGCACAAATGTAACGATTGGAAAATATAATCAACACAGATCTTGGTGTTTTTGCCCTCCGTGCAGTGAGCCCCACCAACATCAGCCAGTATAACCTGCCACCAGGCAGCACCAGCATGAGCCGCTCCAACAGCATCCCTGCCCATGACTCCTTTGACCTGTACGGGGAGGGCCATCCACTGGGTGGCAGTGCAACCTCCCTGGAGGACCGCCCACGGGGCATCAGCCGCTCCGGCTCCTTCAGGGACAGCACCGACGAAGGTAGGACACACTCTCGAACGTGCTCTCTCGAAATTATAGATAATTTAAGGGCCACATTCAGCAAAGCAAAGTCCCATCAGTCACCAAGGACTTAAATACCAGATTTAATGAGCTCTTAGCTGATAGCTCACTCTGTTCTGATCTTTTTTTGTGAGAGATGTAAGAGGCTGTGATTGCATTCATATAGAGGTCAGCTTTTTAACATGCTAAATCATGTTTTTTTTTCACTGCCTCACTCACTTAGTATAACTGAGCACATCATCTGAATGACTTACCATAGCTATTGAGTCAGCTATAATAAATACATAAATAAGCAATTACAGAACTGACTCCTGGTCAGATTTAATATAAAAGGTTAGAATATTATATGGTTAATTCCTGTTTTAATTACTTTTGTCACTCATTACTCTCCATATGTGCTTACAGTCCATGGCTCTTCATTGTCTCTGGTCTCCAGCACGTCTTCATTGTACTCTGCGGTAAGTAGCCGGCCAACTTCTCTTTCCTAAAGGTACAGCTTTCAGAGCTAGAGTTAAAGTCAGGTGCTGTATATGTAAAACTAGTAAAGCATGATGTAAACTAGAAGTAGGCAACCTTAGGTGTCACTAGCTTAACCAATTGCTCCAGCATTCCGCAAAGACCCGCCCTGCTCTGCCTCTGATTGGCTAGTACTCGTTGCCTTCTAAGCAGAAGGTTGAAGGTTGGTAGGGTTGGATGTGGATGTTTTCATAATGATAGCACCGTGCTTGTATAATGTTGATATGGTGCACTGATTCCTGAAAATTTTGGGGGAAAATTGGCAATTCATATCAAATAGACCCCTGATGTAAAAACACGTCAAAGCTGCTCCAATCACTACTTTTATATTAGCATTTTAACGAGTTTGTAGAGACAAACACAGATTGAATAGCAATCCAACTTGATAGTTCCACTCACCTCTGTGGAGTTTTAGCCTCTTTCCGCTCATTGGTTTGGTTTTCCAACCAGCAGTTTTATTGTTTTGGCGTAGCACCAAACAGCAAGGTTGGTGACGAGCTTGTGAAAAAGTGGAGCATTTAGCAGCCAAAAAGACAGATATTTCCCTCAAATGGAGACCATAACAGGAAAAGGAAAGTAAATGAAGCACTGGTGGCCAGACACACAACTCCAAATAAATGCTAATGTTGGTTAGCTTCTGTGAAATGTGTAAATATGCAACAAGTTTGCCGTAAAACCTTTATATAACGTGTCAGTGTTGTGTTTACAACTTGTTTCCCTGCCCAAAAAAGTTAGTGCAGGTGTAGAGCTGCACTGCCTGTGCTCCATTATTGGTGCACATTTGAAGCCAGATTTTTTTAAATGTGACCGCACATTTGTTCCCAGTGATGCATTATATCTCACATACACTTTCTTCCGTTATTTCTATCTCGTCCCTTCTGTGTCCGTAGAGCCCAAAAAAAGAACCTTCCATCACTGCATGCTTCTCATTTAACTTTGGCAGATAAGACTCCGGACAAGTGTTGGGTTTTCAAATAGCACAGGCAGCGTTCCAGTCAACAGATTTGTTTTTAGGTGGACAAATGTTTCCAATTGCACTCGCAGGTTGCAGAGGAAAGTGCTGGAAGGATGATGGAGATTATTTTCTGTTATTTTAATCTCATTTCATTTGAAGTTGGGTTTAATTCTCTTCTGCTATGTTTTGGCCATTTCATAACTTCTCTTCGTTGACATTAAAATGCCATTTACTCTTTGAAAGATGCTTGATTAAACACACCTCGCGGAGCCAATAATCGTTTTCATTTTTCTTCCTTACAGACAGAGGAGAAAGCACACTCAGAGGTAAGGATGGGTAATAATCCATCCGTCTGCATGTCCGCTTCTCCTTAGCACCTTCCTGCTTCACATTCAGACACTCACACCTTGCTCTGCAGATGCGGACCTCAAAGGCAGCTGTGAGGAAGAACAAAGGAGTTTATCTTATTTAGTTTTGATTATGCCCTTCAGGAGTTTTTCTACATCTACACCTCTTTACGTTTGTGTTTTTCTGTTACACTGCGTCTATATCAGAGAGGGTCTGTCTATGTCTAATCAAAGCACAAACAGTGATATTTGTTCGACTAAATTTGGCCTATTGTTGATGAATATTTTGAGCCAGAAATCACATAAATATGTTAACGGTGATGGTGGATAAAGTTTGGATCAAACTAAATTGGCAAATACACTGTGGTGTTGGTTTCAACCCTGCCAGATGGGTGGAGTTTAGCATTTGAGGAGAGCTCATGAGGTACAAACCGTCAATAATGCTCAGTCACAGTGCAGTCCCACGATCCTGGTTCTTTTTTCCTTCCTTCACATCAACATTTGACATTTTCCACTTTCAGACCCTGAGACAGGTGACCTGCACATGACTCCAATTTATCATCATTTATTTGAGACATTTGCTGTCATGTTGGCACAACAGCAACTTGGCTACGCAGCTTTGGCATTGGGGATGAGTAACGGCAATGAAAAGAAATCATACAAGGGACTCGCTTGGTATTTTTTGGAGAATTCTCAAACGAGGAAAAATCGAAAATCCTCCTAAAATGTCAAAACTTTCAATGTGTTGGAAAGGAGTGGGAAACATGTCTTTAGTCATATGGATTATATCCAAAAAACAGACAAACAGTGATCCAAAATTCTGATATTGACAACAATTTGGAACTTGTGAAAGAAACCAAAACTTCGTTGTCCTTGTGTCGTCCACTTTGGTAAACTGACACATTTGGTACTTATCTTATTATGTAAGAAACAATATCAGGTATTTGCAAATGTTTTTTGACCCAGGTCAGGAATTCTTTCTCCTGCTGCGCTGCTCAAAGTGTTACCTTGAGAAAACCAGTGCTGTGGCTTGTGATAACCTCTGTCTCTCCAGCCATGTCAGTACATGCTGTTTAATGGAGGCATGCAACATAGTGTTAATATTTACTCTTCTCTTTTCAATCAAGGGCCAAACAGTCCAAAATTCCACGGTAATCCCCCACACTTTGTGTTCACACTTTACCCCAGTGTCTTTTTTGCACAGTTACTGCACAGTTTTTACACCAAAGTTATCAGCACGGGAGTTGCACAGTTCAAAGTTCAGCAGCGCTAACTACGCCTCTTTGCTCTCTCTTCCCCCCCAAACAGCAAATCAGAAAGCTGCGTCGGGAGCTGGACGCCTCTCAGGAGAAGGTGGCGACCCTGACGTCTCAGCTGTCTACCAACGTGAGTTTGTTTACTTCAGAACACGCCGTCAGAACAGCTGGCTCATTTGCATGACAAACCTCTGTCGGAGAGCTTTTTGTTGGGAGCGTTGCCTATCAAAGGCCTGGAAGGAATATACTGTAAATCTTTCAGACGCCCACTAATTTCTTATCTCTGTTTTTGAAGCCAGGTGCTTGTATTTAGGCTTTTGCTTGTTTGATTTTTAGTGTGTGTTTTTTGTGTGCTTGTCCTTAAGATGGGATGTTTTCTTGTGCGTGTTTGTGTACCTGCGGCACAGCTAGGATTGCCTCCTTGCCTTTGTCTCAGCCGGCGGGGGGTTTTCAGTGAGAACAGGAGCCTCGCCCAGATTCAACCGAGCAGGAAGAATCAAATAAGAGATAGGCTGGCGCAGGAGAGAGAACGGGGGAGACAAGGATAAGTGAATCTAGACGTCACGCGTGGGTGAAACAAGAGCAAGATGCAGAGACCTCCAACCCCCAGACGGAGCCTGTCTTTGTGCTGATAGATCGACAAACTTCAGCTCCCGACTCAGCTCAGCCGCTCCACCCTCACTGATCAAGCGTGGAGGCAGAGGGGGTCTTCGCTTCGGTCTGACGCTTTGATCACAAAGTTGTGCCGAGCTGAAACTGAAGGCTAAACAGCAGGGAAAGTTGCCGAATGGAAGAGGGAGACATGCCTTTGTGAAAGAGTTCTGTAGGGACAGTCGGAACACTACTGGTTTGTTTGGGTCATGTGCAATGACTTGATAGATGAAGCTTCACATTTGAATACCCTGAAATGGGAACTCCACCGATTTTAGATATCAAAGTCTGTTTACGGGTGACTGTCACTGATTTTACAGCTAATTGCTGTTAACAGGTTAAAGTTAGTTCAACATTTAACTCTTAAGTTAAACAAAACTTAACTCCTTAACGTCACCCGATAGCCCTCTCCCCTGTGCCTGGCCGTGACGCATATAATCCGTCCTCCTTGAGAAGACAGTTGTTTGGATACATCCAGGTTTTCTGTTATTCCTCACTTGCTGATTAGCATAGCGAATCCACTCGTTTTCACATCTTAAAAGTCCACTTGCTGTCACGGGGATGGATGACAATTGGGACTCATTCAGCATCATCTTTGCAGCTTCGCTGCATCAAGCATAATAAAGACAACTTTGACTGTTTGCACTTTTTAACTATAATAACGATTGCTCGTTGCAATAGCTGCTAATGTTGGCATTGCTAATTATCTATCATGAGTCCGACCTCTGCTCTCCGACCCTCCACCTCCAGAGCAGGAGCACCTTGTACCTAGCGTAGCAAAGGACTTGGTATTATAGTTTAGTTGATGGCTTGACAAACTGGTCATGTACGCGTTAGCTTGACACAGGTTCACAAGTTGTGGGGAGGCTACTAACCTTCTACCAAAAGAAGAGAAATGCTACTGCTAACTCCAAAGTTGTGTTGTTTACATATTGTGGCTTTTATCTAGCTTGGTACCGTTATACGCTTGTCCTGCGTAGTCATTGGGGCTAAAGTTAAGCTAGCTGTTGACGGTCAGCAAATACCACCAAAACATAGATTGACTGCTTTTAAACCATAATGACTCATTTTCTATTCATACACATTTTTAATACACATAAAACCACTTCATACTTATTATCATATAACTTAAATAATATTTTGCCATGTGACAGCCTTAGAGTTGTTTAATTAAATGCACCTGTGACGGCGCTTGGCTGCGTAACAAAACTAAAGTTACCTAACGTTAACGAGTGATGCAAAAAAATGACTTTTGCTGTTGAGGAGTTAGTACAGTAATAAGAAAAATGTAATATGTATTTTTCAAGTCGCTTGCCCAACACCGTGTTTGGCAGTGTCGCCAGCATGACTCACACATGCGACAGCGTCCACTCAGCTTAGGCTTTACTTAACAGTGTGGCACATTTACAGGTCACATTAACACATGTCATCACCTCGGGACACCAGCAGTGAAGCCACTTTGGAGCCTCGGATTAAAGTAGAGACAATTCCCCGTCGCCGGTCGATACCACAGCTGTATTAGTGGGTGGCTCGCGCCCACATTTTATGTGTACATTGCAAACAGAGAATTCTCACAGTTTCTTTACAGTTTAGCATGGTTCAGTAAGCGCCTGATGATGCGGCATCATCGCGTACAGTATTTGACACTAGCTGGTTTCAAAAGCTACTGATAGGATTGTGATCACCCTGCAGCGAGAAGGAGATGCTGCAACAATATGAAGCAGGAAAAAAAAACAGTCAAGAACTTATCAAGTATGGCTGGGTGAGAAGAAACATTTTTACACTTTGCAGGGGCCAAATTATCCAAATTAGTATATTTTTTTTACCGTATGTTGCCGTGGCTTTGTGCAGCAAAAAAACATTTAAAACCATATACAGTACATACTGTATGTGTTGATGTTCAGTGGCCATTAACAGGGTCGCTTAGCATATAAAACGGCAGTGGAAAAAGCCGAACTGTGCCAAGCCATATGCAAACACCCACATGTGCTTTACATCTCCCACTCTCATTTTAGAGGCTTGGGATTTAAAAAAAAAAAAAAAAAAGTGAAAAAAACCAACATCCCTGGTGTTGTACTGGAGCTGCATCACACTGTATCCACATGACAGAGCAGTGAGTCGATGGTGCTATGAGCTTGTGTTATCCTCTCAATGGGGAGTGTGACCCGACAAGGATACGTCAGCCTTAGCAGCCCCGACATGCCGCCCACCCACGGTCCAAAACGAAACGCTCACTGTGCCGTGTGCAAGAGACGTCGCTTAATCGTGTATATTCCTGGAACGCATGTAGAAATACATGGAAATGTACAGGAAACCTACACATTGGTGGGTGTTTCGTATTGTGGCCACAGAAAGAGAGACTGGTATTTCCAAAATGTTGAAAAAGACAGAACCTTTTTTTTTTTGTCATTTTGAAACAGTATTTTGAGGATACCTTGCTTCCTTGTAGCACTAATTTCTTCGCCATTTATCCTTTAATATGGTGTGTATACTATAAGGGCATTTCAATTTGGTTGTGACCTCAATTTAATGGATATTTGACCTTAACTTGTGATTTTAGAAAGTGCGTCAATCATCCAAATATCTTTTGTCAATCAGAAGAGGAACCTTAGGAGTTTAGCCATAAAAATCCCCAAAAATGATGAAGTAAAAATGTATATTTTAAGGTTAGTGAGAGGGGTTTTATTTGTGGGGAAGCGATTTGCAAAACAGTTGCCTGCATTGTGTCGTCCTGCATTGGCTGAATGCATTTTAATTTCCTCTCCTCTCTTTTCATCAGAGAGACACAGAGGAGATTTTTCCATGATTGAGGTCATCTGATCTTGGCTTCTGCTGTGCTACTGCATACATCATTATAATTATTATCATTTTCTGGGTTTCTTTTGTGCAGGAAATTGAATTTGGATCTTGAATAGAATTTTAGGGGAGGTGTCAATGCCCTCGGTCACGCATGCCGACTCTCACATTAAAAACATATTTGCTGCCGCGCAGTCACGCTGGATTAAGAACACCCCACACATGTCGTTTTTAATTAACCGCGTGTTTGTTTTTGGTATTATTTGATCAAAATGGAGCAGAATTAGTAAAACCAACATCCTGTCAAAGGGATTAAGAAGAGCAAATGCTGCCAAACTGGTGAAGTATTGTACCACCTTTCAGCCGGTGGATGGGATACGTTTTCCTGCCTCGACTGACATTAACTCTGGTTTAAGAGTTTACACAGGAACCCCTCCCCCCCCCTCTCAAATCCCCCTTCCTCTTTCTACTCACCCGTCACTGTGTCACCCTAACCTTGTCGCCTCTCCCTTTCTGCTCAGCCAGGAAAGGTTCCCCCTCCCTATCACTCTCTATTCCGTTATTATTCCTCCCTATATTGGCCGTATTCTCCCTTATCATCCCCTTCCCTCCCTCCCATTCGTCACCTCCCCTTTATGCTGTAGTGTTTAGAGAAGGTAGCCCAGCAGCAGGTGCTGGCTTGGACCGCTGTAGTCGTGACTGTCCTCCTTGTGATGTCGTCTGGCAACTCTAGCCCCAAAAGACTTCTCTTCATCCAGTTCACTGGTTTGGCCCACCGTCAACCTCTACCCCAGACCCCAGGATCGGCACGGCGGTCCTAAAAACAGGGGGTCCGGCACACAAGTGTGTCAGCCGGGGCCAGGCCCCATGAGCAGGACAGACAGTTCAGCCACGGGACACGTCAGAGTTTGATCGGCGCCCCCTCTGTGGCGGACAGGTGGGCGGGTGGGGGGGCTGTTGAGTCGGAGCTCACAGGTGGAGTTGGAAAGAGATG